CTTCCCATAGGATTCAGGACCTGAACAGTCCCCGGCAGGTAAATTCCTATGAACACCCAAGTAAATTCCTGATGGACACCTGTGAGGACAAGGACAGGAATCACCAGTCTGGACCTGGACCTAGGGGAGAGAAGATGCTAAATAGGGGCCGCAGAAGGCACCAGAGCAGCACAGCAACTGGAAAGAAGGAGATTGGGAAGTCTAAATCAGCCCCAACACTGCAACAGTGGACCTCAAGTTTCTCTGCCTGTCCTGCCCTCACCATATTCCCATCCTTAAATAAAGTCACAACCATGTGATCTCTGCTTCTTTTTTTTAAAGATTTATTTATTTATTTGTCTGTTTGTTTGCTTATTTGTTTGTTTGTTTGTTTGTTTGTTTATTTATACAAGCACTGGGTACAGTCAGAAGCGCGGGAGGGTGAGAGAATCCACCAGAGCCAGAGAACAGGCAGACTGAAGTACACTGCTGAGGGGAGCAGCAGGCGGCAGGAGAGGTCTGCGCGCCATGTGGGACCCTCACCCGGCTGCCGGGGATTGAACTGGCGCTGCAGAGGCTGCGGGCAGCTTTGCAACCCAGAGCTCAACCGCTGCGCCATCCGGGAGGCTCTGATCTCTGCTTCTTGAGCCATTAGGTGAAAGCAGTATTTAAACTTCCAGCTCAGTCCAAGAAAAATGGACATGGAGGTACTTTCAGCTCAGTGTGGTTGGCTCAGTTCTACCTACTTCTGGGGAAGGGTCACAGAGCAGCAGGGGACGCTCCAAGACTGAAAGGCTGAAGCTCTCAACCTGTGACCCATGCACAGCTGGCAGGACAGGGTCCTGGAGTATGCCTTCCTCATGTCTCTTGTGAGACAGTAATGTAACTTCTGCTAAATGCCTGGAAAACAGTAGAACTTGCTGTGTTTTATCTATTACTGTTAGTTTTCTTTGGTGTACTGTGGTGATTTGAGGCACAGGCATTAGTTTAACAGTCATGAAAATGTCAACCCATGGACAATTTCTGTGATTAGCCATAAATATTTGCCCATATTGTTCTCACTATACTTTAAAGCATATTTTCCCAGTCTTTTGAAAACGTGGAATGTAGGGTGGAAGCAGAAGTCTTACTAAAGGTTGAGGTCAAGTCCATCTCCAATAGCTCCTCACCCTAAAGACTCATTACTTAAAATCAGGATTGTGGTGATAATATGTGCTTTTTCACATCTGACTTGTGGTCATTTTTTGATCAGTGTTCCTGGATCTAAAATTTAATATTTCAAATTTCCCAGGTCAGTTCTTTGTCTGAAATGATGATTTCATTTCTTTATGTAAACTGTCATACCAAGAGGTATGAAAAATGGGAAGGAACTGAGTGTTTCTCTAGAGAAGAAAAAGCTAGGAGGAAAAATAATCTTCCATGGCAGCTTGTGATGGAACCTTCTCTTTATCACAAACTGATGTGGAAATGGTGTCAGTATTTTCTCTGACCCAGAGATCAAAGCCTGCTCTGCTACCCCTGCAGGGAATGTAGTCAATCCTGATGTTCAGCCAGATCCAGCCTGACCTTATCTACTTCCTGCCTTGCTCCTGGGAGCTTACTCACCTGGAGTCCAACCTGCCTGGTTCTCCAGCATCATCTGATAACTTTCATTATCACCCCCACTTCCCACGGGCCCCCCTTCCTCCCCCATTAAACAGTGAGCCAGGCACTGAGGGCCACAGCATAGTCCCTGCCATCCAAGAATTTACAGTCTTGGCATAAACAAGATGTTTACAGGAGAGAGCAAGCGAATGGACCTGAGGGTATGACTGTTAGTGAAATAAGTCAGATGAAGAAAGACAAACACTGGATGATTTCACTCATTGGTACATAGAGAAATAAAACAAAAGAATGAACTAAATAAAACAAAAACAAACTTTTAAGCCATAAGACCAATTTAGTGGTTACCAGAAGCAAGAGGGGAAAGGAGATGGGTAAACTGGGTAAAAGGAGAGGATTGTGTGGTCAAGGATAGGATTAGACTTTTAGTGGTGAGCTTACAGTAGTTTGTACAGATGTTGGTTTCTAATCATGCACATCTGAAACTTATGTAATGTCATTATGCATGTTATTTCAATAAAACAAACAACCACAAGTGGTTTAAAAAGAAAAGCAAGTGAAGCTAAGCATCACTAAAAGGTAGCACTGGTAAGAACATGAATTTCTTCTGGAGTTCCAAGAAAATGGAGTTCTCTATGAGCTGAGCTGGTGGAAAGCTCTTTCTGACAGAAATCGTCGTGTCTTCTCCGAGGCGTGGGAGGTGGGTCACTGGTGGAAGGTGGCTAAGGACACAGCCAGCGCAGACCCCCTGCCAGGGTTTTGAGCCCAGCTCTGCTTGTGCCTACAGAGTGATTCTGGAAAGTACTTCGCCTAGCTCTGCCTCGGTTCCCTCCTCCCTGAAATGGAGCGAGTAACAATAAAACTTAGCTCATGGACTGCGGTGAGGCTAAAACGAGCACATACTCATAAGGGTTCCACTATCATTATTTACCACGCAGTGCTCCTGAGCGTGAGGAATGTGAGCCTGCACCATCCAGTCTGTGCAATTAATGAATGCTGTCTGGGAGGAGCGTGTGTGCATAAGACACTGTCTGGGACGACTTGCATAATGTCATCTTTAGGCAAAACGCCTCGTAATTGGCGCAGCTCCGACAAACACATGCACACAGCGAGTGTGCGAGGCGGAGCTGCGGGCTGCGTGGCCCGGGTCTGGTCTGTAAACACCCGCGGGCTCGCGGGGTGCGGGCGCGCCCACGCTGCGTGTCCGCTCGGCTCGCTGGGCGCGAGACCGTGTCCCCCCGGCGTGTCACCCGCACACACACGCCTGTGAACCCCGCTTCGACGTGCGTGTCACGGCTTAAAAATAGATGCTAATCCGTCAAATCGTCTCGCAGCGGCAGCCGCGCCTGCAGGAGAGAGTCATGGCCGTGGGGCCGCCTGCGCCCGCGATCCGCCTCGGGGACTGAGACCCCGCGCCGCGCTCGGAGAGGTAGAGGGGTGCGGAGGGGGGCGGGCAGCCTGCCTAGCGGGGTACGGGTGCAAAGCTCCGGACTGCAGAGAGGAAGGGGACCGGAGAGGGACTTGGGAAGCCAGCCAGCCGCGCGCTCCTGGGCTCCCTCCCTCCACCCTCAGCGCCTGGCTGTCTGGGCTGGCAGGAGCTGGGGCGACAGCCATGAACCTGTTACAACCGCGACAGCAGACTGAGGGAGGGGGCCTCGGACAAGGGCCCCTGAAAGCTGATGGGGTTGCTGAGGGGTGCAGCCTGGACTGAACGGGGCTTCTGCACCCAGAGGAGACAAGTCCCGGCGAGCTCCTTCCTACACCTGGTCTTTTTCCTGCTTCCTTTGACTATCAGCTTCACACGGGCAGCAGAATCTGTTTCCAGGAAAGGCTGCTCAGGAATAGAGTGGCGGGGTCTGTGGGCCTGGGGAGGGGAGGCAGATGAGGAGGTGATGGTGGTGGGTGACTATGGGATGGCTATGCTGATGTTTCTGTGCTCCTTCTGACCCAGGATTGTATTGGGGAAAAAAAAGCTGTCCCCAAACACTCTATGATCCAGTCCTCCCCAGTCTTGATCCTAAAACCCTTGCTCCTCTGCCCTGTAAAAGCTTGTCTCCTCTGGCCTGGGGGGAAGGGGAGCTAGCCCTGGCTTTGAGCTGGGCTGGACATGGAGCAAGATGGCCTCTCACTGCTGGCCTTCTGGTTGAGGTCCCAAGCGCACAAGACAGGGAGGGAGTGGGAAGGGGATTCTTTGGGGCAGCCCACCTTTTCAGACCTGCAGGACCGTTGTCAGAGAGGAGCTCCTGCATAGAAGCCCTTCTGCCTTAAGTTCCTAGGGCAAGTCTCAAACACTGGTCTTTGCCAGGTCTGCAGCTCAAGGTGTGGACCCACTTCTGGAAGGGCCTTCTGTCCCCAGAAGCACACCTGCTAAGCCCCTACTGGCCCCCAAGGTGCAGGGCTTGACTCCAGCAGCAATATGGCTGGTAATATAGGCTCTGAGCCCCTACACCTGGCAGGATCCTCACTCTGTTCATTCCTCCCCCTCTCTTCAGCCCTTCCACCCATCGGCCCACACACACCCAGAAACAATACTCCAGCTTTGCTGCTGCAACTCAGAAATTCTCATATTAAAGATGAGGTTTGAATCAATCATCTCTATTCTGGTCAAAGGAGGCTGGTTTGCCTATTGTGCAGCCAGACTGGCACCTTCTTTCCATGAGCTCATGTATTCGGCAAGTATTTTTCAAAACCTTACATTTCTTTGTCATTGTTATTCACCAATCTCCTGACATACATGTCCCACAGCAGGCCTATCTCTGAGGCAATGATAGGGCAGGAATAGGTTAAGGCAGCCCATCTCTCCGGCACTGAAGAGGCAGGCTTGGCATATGTTGTGGCCTCAGCTGCTATTATCTTCCTGTTAATTCTCTATGGATGGGTCCAGAGCCATCCCCACCCCCATTCCAGCTCCCTAGCCTCTGCCTATAGCCCCAAACAGATGAGACCCAGATTTGGACTGGCCAGAGCTCTAGCTGTGGACAGTGCTGCCCAAATACTAAATGTGTGTGTGTGTGTGTGTGTGTGTGTGTGTGTGTGTGTGTGTGTGTGTGTGTGTGTGTGTGTGTGGTGGGGGTGGGGTGGTAGAGATGAAACCAGCCACTGGGCAGCTCCCTCTCCCCGTAAACAAGGACATGTGACTCTCCCACCTCCTTGCGTGACAGAGCCAAAGAGCAGAGAGGAAGGAGCTGCTGCAGCTTGAAGGAGAGGTTAGTCCCGGAGGTCCTACCAAGGCCAGACTTCACCTCCCTCCCTGGAGACTCTTCTCCCCAGGGCCCAACCCAGTTGGCGGGAAGGGGAGTGGCTGTTCCTGTACTTGGGTGTGTCTTACATCCCTTCCTCTTCCAGCAACAGCTACCTAGAGACTCACCCCATCATCACTACAGCCACTCTGCAGCTGCCCCATTCCTGCCACCTTGAAGATGTGCCCTGGTAACTGGCTCTGGGCCTCCATGACTTTCATGGCCCGCTTCTCCCGGAGTAGCTCCCGGTCTCCTGTCCGCACTAGAGGCGCCCTGGAGGAGATGCCAACCGTTCAACATCCCTTCCTCAATGTCTTTGAGTTGGAGAGGCTCCTTTACACAGGCAAGACGGCCTGTAACCATGCCGACGAGGTCTGGCCAGGCCTCTACCTTGGAGATCAGTAAGTATATGGCAGGCTGGGCACACAGTTGAGTGAGTGTGTGAGTGTAAATGTGTGCATGTGTGCGTGTGCGTGCACAAGGAGGAAAGAGGCAGAGAGGCAGTGGGTGGCACTGCTGTCTCCAGGATGCAGATTAAGGGGCTATGCATGGGCAGGGAGGCTGGAAAGGGAGCAGGGTAGGGATTGGGGAGTTTGTATTATTGATATACACAACTCTGGCCAGAAAGAGTATATTCAAGTAAAAATGTCATTCATTTAGCAAATATTTATTGCCATATGCCAGTGCTCTAGATGACTTCTCTGACCTCTCCTCCATTATGGTATGACTCTGAAAAAAGGCCGACATTGGGAGCCGGCACAGTGGGTAGGAAGCTGAAGGGCTGATCAAGCCACACTGCAGTGTATACAGAGGCCCTGCCAGATGGGGCTCTGGAGAGAAAAGCCCCAGGATAGAGAAATCGCCACTTCTGTCTCCCAAGGGCTTCATAGTCTACGGAGAGTTTTTCACATGCATTTTCTCTCTTAATCTTCACAACAGCCTTGTGAGGTGAGTACCACGATCCCCAAGTTAGAGATGAGGAAACTGAAGCTCAGAGACGTGCCCAAGGTCACATGGGCACTTGAAGTTCCAGTTCAGTGCTCTTTCTCCTTGAGTTTGCACTGGACAGGACCTTTGCACCGAGATATGACCTTGTTATCTGAAGGTATGGGCCACGTGAACAGCTGAAGGTGACTTCAGAAAACATGGCCTGAGCACGGAATAAATGGCAAAACATGAAATTCTGCATCAAAGGGAGTATAAAGTAATGGGGGAGTGAGATATGAGAGCAAACATCAGTATCATATCATTTCAAACTTGCCCAGGAAGTTAATATATGGTGTTCACATCCCTTCTGCTGCATCTCTGACCACACGCCTCTCTGCTGGAATACCCCTGCTGACAGGAAAAACATTCTTGTCCAGTGTTCCAACCTTCCCTCAGCTAGATTCTACTAATGGGTTGTACTTTCATACATGACAGGCAGATGCAGTAAATCCTTTTACAGATGAAGCACAGTCTCCTGCCTCTGAGCACTCTCAGTATTTTACTGTGGCCATTGTTCACCCAACCCCCTAGTCTCCTCTCTAGGCAACACATCCTCAATACTGTCAACCATTACTCAAGGACAAGACTCTAGGGCTGGCCATCCTGGGTCTTCCCTGCTGGGTCCTCAGTAAGCAGAGACCTGCAGCCAATGCTGTGAGTGGGAATGGAGTGAGAGGGAGAACACGTAGGCAGCAGTCGGGTATGGACAAGGACTTCTGGCCCACAGATTCCTCAGCCTCCTAATCTCTACTCACTGCAGGGACATAGCTAACAACCGCCGTGAACTCCGTCGCCTGGGTATCACCCACGTCCTCAATGCGTCACACAGCAGGTGGCGAGGCACCCCCGAAGCGTATGAAGGACTGGGCATTCGCTACTTGGGGGTCGAGGCCCACGATTCGCCAGCCTTTGACATGAGCATCCACTTCCAAACGGCTGCCGACTTCATCCACCGGGCACTGAGCCAGCCAGGAGGTAAGAGGGGAAAGCAGGCAGGAAGGACAGACTCAGATGCTGAGGTCAAGAAAAACCGAAGGGGTCACCTATGGAGAGACAGATTTTAATGACATGACAAATGCTCAGAAGAGAAAAATAATCTGTTTGCCACTTTAAAAAGCAAAATATTAAAAGACAAGGAGGAAATCATCCAAGAAGTTAGCAAATTGCTGGGGGAGGGCCCATAATATGGGTGAAATCATTTTTAAATTGCTTCCTTTACATATGTCTACATTTTCCAGTTATTTTTACCTTGAGCATATCTTTCTCTAGTGATCAGAAAAAGTAAATATATAATTTAAAATTTAGTAAACATCCCTCAAAAAATTAGTTGCTAGAAATAGCAAGATAGGGCCTCCCCGGTGGCGCAGCAGTTGAGCGCTGGCCTGCGAAGCTGCCTGAAGCCTCCGCAGCACCGGTTTGATCCCCGGGCGAGGGTCCCACATGGCGCAGACCTCTCCTGCCATGCCCGCTGCTCCCCTCAGCAGTGTGTTTCGTCAATCTGTCTATTCTGCTCCCCGCTCTGGCTCTGGTGAATTCTCTCACCCTTCCGCGCTTCGGACTGTACCCAGTGCTTGTATAAATAAATAAGTAAATAAATCCTTAAAAAAAAGAGAGAGAGAAATAGCAAGATACAAGGGTGGAAAGACAGAAGATGTAGCCGGTCAGACCCTGGGTGCTTTCCACTGATGCTTCAGGAATAACCAGAGTCCCTGCTCCACAGTGAATCTCGGTTTTACATGAGTGATGAGTCTCTACCGTTGTGCCCTGTTCTGGTTCATGGGGCCTGAGCTGCTACATGTTCTCCATCTCATTCTGTTTAGCTCCTTCTTTCTCCTCCCTCCAGTCCCCCTCCACCTGCAGCCCCAATGCACACCATTTGCCAAGGCTCTGCGTTCTTTCCACCACCAGTCCTGCTTCCATGTGCATCTACTTACCTGTCCTCCTCTGCACCTGTCACTGTGGCCCTCTCCCTAGCTTCCTCCGGCCCAAGCAAAGAACCCCACAGCTGTCTCTGTTTCTGTCCTCACAGGGAAGATCCTGGTGCACTGTGCAGTGGGGGTGAGCCGATCCGCCACCCTGGTGCTGGCCTACCTCATGCTGTATCACCACTTCACCCTTGTGCAGGCCATCAAGAAGGTCAAGGACCAACGAGGCATTATCCCCAACCGGGGCTTCCTGAGGCAGCTCCTGGCCCTGGATCGCAGGCTGCGGCAGGGTCTGGAGGCGTGAGGGGAGAAGGAGGAGCAAGAGGAGGGCAGTCAGGCTAGACCAGGCCAGGCCAGGCGCTGGGTCCCTGGCTCCCAGCTGAGAGAGGTGGTCCAGGTAGAGGGAGCAGAGGCCCAGATAACCAACCCATCCTCTCCTGTAGGGGGGAGAGTGAAAGGGCTGGAGTGACCCCAGGGCCCTGTTGCTGTTTGTCGGGAGGGGGTGGAGGTGAGGTTGGGCAGAGTGGTGGGCAGCTTTCCTGGCTAGGAAAGGAAGCAGCTGGGCTATAGGTTGAAGTCGGCCCTGCAATGCCAACACCCCTAGTTTCCAGCCAGTGTGCACCCGTGATTCCAGCCCCTTCCCCTCTTTGTGCTAAAGTGTTCCTCTCTCTCACTTATCAACACAAAAGGACCATCTCTGTCCTGTGGCAGTGCAGATAAGTTGGGGTGCGGCAAGCCTGGATGTGCTAGGGCAGAGCTGCGTGGGGATGGCAGCGTAGAGACAGACGGTGAGGAGATGGTGTGAAAGCTGCGAAACTGGAGGGGAAAACCCACAGACGTGTTACTCCAAACACAGGAAGAAGAGGCGTGTAAGTTGGCACTGTGCCTGTGGGTGCCGGGTGAGGCCAAAAACTGCAGAGGTGCATGACTGGAAGTCTTTGTATGATCACTGCTGACTGGATCCCAGTGTCTCAAGGAAAAATAAAGATTGTAGACAAGACGTTCTCTTGAATCATTGACAGCTTAAATGATTTCCCCACCCCTCTCTTGAGAACCCCAACCTTGCTGGGGAGAGCAACAGCTGCTAATTCCTTCATATGGGTCAGACCCCTCCCTGCCAACCCCCTCCCCTAACCCCACCCCAACATTTAAACTTTGGAGCTTTTAAGGGACGGTTTCTCCTGAGTCCTATTGGGCTCTCTGGCTGCAGGTAAAATCTTTAACTGTCATTTCCAACTACGTCCACATAGGGGCAGCAGAGGACCAAAAACTTCTGGTTGGCAGTCATTTGTGTGACACCCCTGAACCCACCCTCCAACTCCCAGGCTTAAAATAGGTCTCTGTTCACAAGCTCAGGTGTGTAAGATATAGAACCTTATTTTCAAAAAGTCAGTCTGATTTCTATATTCGGTCCCCATTCTGTTGGGATAGTAAAACATTTTCTAAAATGAATCCCAGTACTAAATCTTACATTCAGAGTTTGGGTGTTACCTGGTACCAAATAGTTGAAAGGGAGGAAAGGAGGTGATATAATTGCTTCTCTTCTGATCTCTCAGGGTTTACCTCAGAGGAGTATAGCACAATCTCATCTGTTAACTTAGTCAAAAATCAGATTCAACAACCAGAGAGAATATTATGATCTTTCTATTTATCCCAACTGCCAGATTGCAGGCTACCAAATCCCTCCTTTAAAAAAAAAAGCAATGTGGGACCTCCCTGGTGGCGCAAGGAGTTAAGACGCAACCTACGAAGCTAACCGCAGCCACTGCAGCACGAGTTCAATCCCCCAGCTGGCCAGGGAGCTGCCCACATGGCACAGCAGACCTCTCCTGCCTTGCCCGCTGCTCCCCTCAGCAGTGTGCTTCAGTCAGTCCACCTGTTTTGTTCCCCACTCTGTCTCTGGTGAATCCTCTCACCCCCCCCCCCATACCTCTGGCCTGTATCCCGGTTCTTGTATGCATAAATAAATAAATCTTAAAAAAAAAAAGCAATGTACCTAGAAAGAAATACCGGTCCCAATAGGATGAAAGAAAGAAGGAGAAACACAGAGGGAAAACACTTAATATTTATCTAAAGTATATATCCTTCCCCAAATCATAGAAACTCGGATTCTCAAAGCTGGAAGGTGCCTTGGTGGGTGATCCACATCTACTCTCCAGATTTGTCACTGACTTTGACAACAGTCCTGAAGCATTTGCTTGGATATTTCCAAAAGCAGGAGACACTACTTAATCCCCATACCATTTTACCATCTCTCAATATTAGAAAGTTCTAATCTCTTTCTCTCTTTCTCTCTCTCTCTCTCTCTCTCTCTCTCTCTCTCTCTCTCACACACACACACACACACACACACACACACACACCAGTGGTAGTGAGATGAAGCTGAAGGGCCTGATAGCTTTTAGGGCACGTGGCAATCACACGGCAATTAGGGATTTTATCTCCTTCCCCACCTGGTTACATGCAGTGCTGCTTCTGTGTATTTCCACAGGGTTGCCATGGGAATTTAACGAGATATGGGACATAAAGTCCCAAGCAAGTCAGTATCTTTTTAATTTTTTTTTAAATTTATAGCTCTTACATCATTGTGTAGTCCCTGTAAAATTCCCACCACCAATTCAGCCATGAACCATCACCATGGTCCCTTGTGCTCGTCTCTCCCCTGCAAGTCAGTATTTAATCAGTGTTCTTCATCTCCCTCCATCCTTCCCAAGGTGTGGAGTCAGCTCTCGTGGGGTCTCCTGTGCCCCCTCCCACTTCCAGCCTAAAACCCCGATTATTTCCAAGAATCTGCACTTATGTTTCAATTTATCTCTCCCCACCTTTCCAGTACTGGCATCTAGAACAGGTCCCAATGTTTCAAGCTAGCCCTCCTAGCTGGGAGGCCAGCAAGATCCATGGCTCATCACCTTTTTTGTTTTACATCTAAAAGGGCAAGTTTATTATAAAAAGGGAGACAATAAGGACACTTGCATAGACACAAGTGAGCAGAAAAAGATGCCCCAGAAAGGGACAGGTTTGCTAAAAGAGCAACCTGCGTGGGCACAGGTGGGCAGATGGCTGCAGTCTCATACTATTGAAAGGCAAGTTTACTTGAGGGATACAGGGAGGCCTTCATTAGGAATGTTGGCTCTGAGGAAAATGCGCTGATCCCCTCTCAGAACCGTGGGCAAAGGATATAAGTATAATTTAAAAATAAGCCTAAAATAACTGCAACTCATACAGAAACTATCACTCTGCTCTTCCAGTCTAGAACAGAACTATGGCTTCCTTTGTCTAGTCTAGAAATATATTGCTGCTAATGTCACCTATTACCACAACCTTATGTGTGAGTCTGAGTATGCCTCAGCTAAGCCCTCTAGACTCCTCAAATTGAATAATTTGAAATTTTAATTCTAACCTCTAGCGAGGAAGTATAACTACTTAAGTGTATTTGACCAAAGATCAAGCTTCACAGAGCAGATTACGTATTTTTATTATTTAACTTTAAAGTGCCTAAGCCCAAGATACTTTCTATCTTATAGATATTAACTCACTTAGCCCTCATAAAAACCCTATAAAGTAGGTGTAATTGCTAAAGAACAGGGAAATTGAGGTAAGTAATTTTCCCTAAGAGTTACTCCCACGAAGAATAAGTAGGACAAGGATTTGAACCTGGGTGATCTGTCTTCAGAATCTATGTGTCTCATCATACTGCTATGCCTTGCTTCCCTTTTAGTACCTCCAGTAAAGGTTGTGTGTGCGTGTGTGTGTGTGCGCGTGCGCGCGCGCGTGTGTGGGTGTGTGGCCCATGTGGTTCAAGAAGAGGAGTCCAGCATCGGGTTATATCAGATAGAATCAGTCCTCTCCTCCAAGGGACTGGGGGTGACACCTATCACAGGAAGGGCTCACTCCCACCTACAAAATCCCAGGTTAAGAGTGTAATCTCATTGAGCCTGTTCTTGGGCAGTTGACCATCTGAACTCAACCAAGGACTTGAAAACCAACTGAAATAAATTAGCTGTTGTTAGATTCAGCCTGTGCTTCCAGATGGCTAAGCCGCACCCCTTGAGAGCTGAGACTCACCTGACCCAAGTTCTTATCATCCTGCCCTGCTCCTTGGTCCTTGTCACAGCTGAACACCACTGTCATGTCCAGCTCAAATCCTGGTGGCAGCCTTAGTTGCCTCAGGAGGTGGGGAGTGCTTGCTCCATCCTTCACCTTGCAACTAAGTCCAGCTGAGAAGTTCCACAGGGAGAGGCAGATAAGAAAAATCGCTGTTTCTGAGCCCCAAGGAAGAACAGAAGAGGGTTATACTGGGGAGGAGGGCCGTACCAAAGGGCCCCTCCTAGGGAAGTTCCCGCAAAGAAAAGGAAGCCTGAATGGAGGAAGGGTGGGCCAGGTTATAATGAAAGATAAACCCTGTTTATCTAAGTTTATCAAAACTTATTTTCAAGGAGCAAAAGATCCAGGAGTTTAGAAAAGAGCCTTGTTCATACTCTAATTCTTGAACCTGTTCTTTCCTACTGCAAACAGGACTTTGCAGATGTGGTTAAAAGGACAGCCTTGAGATCAGGAGAGTACACTGGATTATCTGTAGGGCCCAAGACTGGGCCCGTTTCTCCCTGGTGGCACAAGGGGTTAAGTGTCAGCACTAGGAAGTGATCTGCAACTGTTAGGGGGAAATGATGTCCTGACAGTCAGGCACCCCGTTTTGTATTGGGGTTGCTCTACAACACAACCACTGCAGCACAAGTTCGATCCCCAGCCAGGGAGATGACCCACATGGCGCAGCAGACCTCTCCTGTCTCACCTGCTGCTCCCCTCAGCAGTAGATTTCAGTCAGTCCACCTGTTCTGCTCCCCACTCTGTCTCTGGTGAATCCTCTTAACCCCTTTCCACCCCCTCACCTCTGGCCTACCCCCAGCTCTTGTATACATATATAAATAAAAATTTAAAAAAAAAAAAAAAAAAAAGACTGGGCCCGTTGCTGGCTATGAGGACTGGAAGGGGGCCATGAACTAAGGAATAGGGATGCACTGGAGGCAAGAAAGGCAAGGAAATGAGTTCTCCTCCAGAAAGGAGCCCAATCCCGCTGACACTTTGATGTTAACCTAGAAAGAACTGCATCAGGCTTCTGATCTACAAAACTGGAAGATAGTAAATTTGCATTGTTTAAGCTATTGTGTGGTGATTTGTTACAATAGCTTTAGTAAGCTATCACAGGCCCCTTGTCTTGCCACCATGACTTTGTTGCTTTGTTGCCGTGAACATCAAACCACTGGTTAAAAAGACTGGGATTCCTCTCTGACACTGTTTTAAAAC